GAAGGAGAGTAAGAAAAAATTTTATTCTATTAAGTTATAATAACAATTAACTAATAATTCTATCCATAACACTAGGAAGGTTATTCGTTTGAATTTAGTATAATTTATATAACTTATTATCTATGACTTGGGTCATTAAGTTTAAAATAATTACTGTCTTACTATATTTTGTATTTTATTCATGTTAATCTAACTATCCAAGTATGTAGTATTTACCATCCCGCCATTGCTCTGATTTGTTTTAATTTATTCAGGATATCCAGTGAATACAACGATTGTTTATTTATTCGATAGATTTAATTTATTATTTACAAATCATATTTAATTAAGTCTTAGCGAATATAAGTATATTTTATTAACTTTTGTGAGAAGATAGAAAAAAAAAGTAAGTTAAAAATAGAAACAGGCCAACGGATAAATTAATGATTCCATAATCTAACAATAGATGCCTCCAGATGATCAATAACCTTTTTATTCAAGGCTATCCGCGATAGTATTAACGTCAAAGATTTCAGAAACTATCAAAGTTGCATACGAACTCCCACAATCAGCCTTTACTGTAATATCAGGAAAATGATTCTTCAATCGTTTTTCTATCGCACTAACTATCCTTTCGTTATTAAATAGTGCATAGCTTGTTTATCAAATTCACCATACCAATTTCCGATTGAAAATGGCTTGCAATCACTATAACCGCCACCTACATTATAATAGACTGAGACATTTGAAATAAATCTGTTTGCCGCTTCGTTAATAAAAGGTAACATTTTTTCGCAAAATTTATCGACAATTATTATTGCTCGATCGAATCTTTATTACGAAGAAAATACATATAGGATTTGGGATCGCCACCACATAGTACTTCGAAGAGGATCGTTACATTATGTTTGCTTCTGTTCCGTCTGCTCATGTACAAACAAATTATTGCTTGTGATCATCCTCTTAACGGGCCACATATACTAAATAATTTTAAGAACATCTGATGGGTTGGGTGGGGCGGGATGAAAAAACCCAGACAAATCTTGAACCAGCTAAAATCATGCTATTTTTGTCTGGGAAAACCCCATTCCCCTACGATGTCACAAAAAAGTCAACAGTTTTAATCGTTTAACCATATTAATCTTACACTGCAGCGCAGCCGTGGAGCCCTACTAACGGCATAGAATGCTTATACAAGTTAACCAATAATCAAGTGGTCATTAGTTACTAGGCTACGATCATAAAGCAGAATCTATATTATATAGTTGCTGAGCTGCAAATAAGGTCTATGCAGCCGTGGTGCCTTAAATCTATTAACGCCTATCGGCGTAAGACACGTACCTAAATTAAAACTTTGTCGGTGATCATTGCACAATCCTACTAAGCAACTTTATGCATATATTTATTAAGGTCCTTGCACTGCTATGCAGCCGTGGAGCCTCATCATATGCTTAAGCCATTGATTTGGTGACCATTGAGCTGCTACTTTC